CAGGTTGCAGTATTCTAGCCCAAGCATATTCACACAGCAGCCAGCTTGCAAGAGTGCAAAACTGGAAGCTGAACGTCTTCTTCAAGCTACCCCCAGAAGTCACCTGTCTTCTGTTTCATGACATCCTATTGGTTAAAACAGGGCAGTGCTGGTGCAGGTTCAAGGGAGTGAGAGGAATGACTCCACCGCCATGATGGACCATGCGTGTGCGTGGCTAGGGATGGCGGCCGGCAGTCGCTCTTGGCAGACCGTGCACCACACTCCCCCTGCTACCTCATGAGTCTTTAGCATACAGATGTATTTGCTGCACCCTTAGACACAAAATCTCATCCACTGTGGGGTCTGGCTGAAGTCCCTGTGATCCATATCAGGTCCAACAGCAGAGGCTCCTTGGCCACAGCTCTTCTTGATATGGAGACCTGTGGGCTTGTGACAAGATGTCTGTCACCCAGACACCCAGCGCAAAGACTATTGCAAGCTTTCCTTCCTGTTTATTTTAAGCTGATCATGCATGCACCAGAACAACCCTCTTGACGATCGTGTGGGCTTTGTGTGTATTTAATTGTAATCCGTTCCATTAGACAAAAGCTCAATCCACAAGTCTCTACAAGAGAGGCTCTTCCCAGTCTTGGGCTGGGGATCAAAGTGTAGTGGAACAAAGATGCTAAGATTCTTGGGAATTTTTATTTTCTAAACAATAGCATCTATGAAGCATCGTCTTAAAACTTTCAAAGACCTTAACAAGGAGTCTTACAGCCACGCCTTTCACTTGATCTTCTCTCTGAGAGCATTTAGCACATAGAGACACCTCACACACTGCAGATTGTCCTACAGTTCCCACTTTGGGAATGGTCCTTTATTCCCACTAAATTGTGCTCCCAAACTGAACTTTCAGGCTGGCTCAGGTCTCTTTTATTGGACTTTATCATTATGGGACTAAAGAAGCCAATCGGCATTTTCTGTGTCCTGCTTGGAGTCTTTCTAGTCAGGTCCGTATATTCACTGGTACATTTTCTATCATCCACAGTGATGCAGACGGCTACCTGCTGCTACACAAAGCAGGGCACCCTTCTTCTTCTCCCGTCACAGCAACGTAACTGCTCTGCTAGACAACACCACACTGTCCCCATCCTTTCAATTTCCACGTGCTTCCCAGTCCCAGTGACGAGGCCACCTGCTTTCAGTTACGGCAATAACCTATTTCCAGTTAATTTTTCTATTATCATTGTTGCTAAATCACAAACCACTCCAAATGTACTGACCTGAGACAACAATCACATTATTTCCTCTGATTCTGAAGGTTGGCTGGGCTGAAGGGTGAGCTGTCCTGCTCCAGTGTTGCTGGCTGTCCCTGACAGCCACCTCTGTCACTGGCCCATACATACATGAGTCTGTTTCTCGTCTCATTGATCTGCTTCATTGGTTTATTCATCTCAGTGATTTATTTGTCTTTGCTTGTGTCAATATCTCACATTCTTATTTATACTAACTTTATAGTAAAAAGTCCTGATATCAGGTAGAGTAGGCCCTATTTGTTCCTTTTGAAATGGTCTTTGATATTCTTTTGTACTTCTATGCACATTTTTTTTGAGACAAGTTCTTGCTATGTAGTTCAAGCTGGCGTTGAATTAATTAAGTAGTCCAGGCTGGCCTCAAACTCACAGTAATCCTCCTGCCTCAGCCTCCCGAGTGCACCACCATGCCCAGCTTCTATACACATTTTATAATTGTGAAACACACACACATGTATGCATACACATGCACACACACGAACGCACACACCCGCACACACAGGCACAGAGTAACTTTGAGGTTTTTACTGAAATTGTCCTGAGTAATAGATAAATTCGGGAGAACTAACATCTACATAGGGGTATATTCTTGCTTAGATCTTTTAAAATTTTTCCTTTTTTTGGTACCAGGAATAGAACTTAGGACCTCGCACTTGCGAGGCAGGTGCTGTGCCACTGAGCTATATCCCCAGCTTAAAAATTTGTTGATAAATTTTTTCTATTCAATATGGAATACTTGGCTCTCTCTTTTTTTAATGCTATTACAAATGATTGTTCTATAATACATGTTTATTAAGTAGTACATAGACATATAATTGATTTTTTTTTTTTCCCTTTTGGGACAGGGTCTCACTATGCAGTTCAGGCTGGCCTTGAGCTCACTTTGTAGCTCAGGCTGGTCTCAAACTTGTAATGATCTTCCTGCCTCAGCCTCCCAAGCACTGGAATTACAGGTTTGGACCACCACACCCGGCAATATATAATTGATTTTTGCATGTTGACTTTGAGTGCAGCAACCTTGCTAAACTTATTTATTAAATATGGCAATTTGGCTTAGAATTCTTTAATCTTTTCCATATGTAATTATGTCATTAATAACAACAATTTTGTTTGTTCCTTTTAAATTATTACACATTTTACTTTATTGGTTTTTCACCTCAGAAAGAACCTCCAGAACAATGTTGAATAAAGGTTATAAGTAGCAAATGCAGAAATATTTTAATTTGTTTGTTTATTTCCAGTCCTGGGGATTAAACCCAGGACCTTGCATACACCAGACAATATCACTGAGCTACACGCCCAGGCCAAGAGTCCGCATTTTACCACATGGTTTAAAGTTTGCTTTAGGTTTCTCGTGCATGCCTTTTTTTGGATTAGGGCATTCCTTTACAGTCATTCCAGTCTTGGTTTGTTAATTTGTCATGAATGGCTATTGAAGATCATCGAATGTCATATCCACTGAAATTATTATTATTGTTATTATTATTATTATTATTATTTGTCTTTTTGAGAGAGGGTCTCATTTTGTAGCCCAGGCTGGCCTTGACTCGCAATGATCCTCCTGTCTCAGCCTCCCGTGTGCTGGGATTACAGGCGTGGGCCACCACACCCGGTTCTACTGAAATTATTATACAAATCCTCTCTCTCTCCCCTTCTCCCTCTCTCTCTGTCTCTCTCTCGGTTTTATTTTGTTTGAGACAAGGTTCTCTCTCTCCAGTTCACGCTGGCTTTAAACTCACTATGTAGCCCAGGCTAAGCCCACACCTGTAATCTTCCTACCTCAGCCATCTGAGTGCTGGGAGTGCAGGCATGCAGCACCACGCCTGCCTGGCTCTCCCTTGTTCATGATAGAAGTACATCGATTTTGTAATTTAAAATTGCTGTTATCTTTTCTTACATATTGCTGGGCTTGGTGTTCTAATATTTTGGGAGGACTTTCACATCTCTATGGTCACCAACTTTTCATATTCTTTTCATGTAAGGTCCTTGTTGGGATTTGGCCTCAAAGTTCTCTTTAGGAATCACTCCCACTTTCCTTATTCTCTGGAAGATTTTGAGTGAGATTAGTGTTATTTCTTTCCCAGATGTTTAATAGATACAGAAATTGGTTCCAGGAATAAGAGGCTGCTGTAACAATAGCACACTCCAAAATACGCGGCGCTAACATTAGCCTGGCAGCATGAAATTGTGACTGGGGGCTCTGAAAAGATGGCAGCTCACGTTATACAGGGGGAAAGAACTGCAAACTTGTAATCTGGGTTTGAGTAAAGGGGATAATATCTACTTGCAAACTTGTACTTTATACAAGAGGTAGAAAATAAATGCTCTAAAACTGAGGTCATTAGTACTTATTGCATTTGCAAGGGTGCTACAGGAAACAAGACCTCAGATAATATGTGTCTGGTTTGCAGGCAGGAAGGAAAGGAAGATAGATATAGATGACATATAGGTATAGATAGCCAAAACTCAAGAGACTTACAAGGTTAGAAGGTACAACTCATTCACTTTTTTTTTTATTTTTTTGAGACAGGGTCTCATTATGCAGTTCAGGCTGGCCTTGAGCTCACTTTGTAGCTCAGGCTGGTCTAGAAGTCAAAAAGATCCTCCTGCCTCAGCTTCCTGAGTGCTGAGATTACAGGTGTGCACCACCGTGCCTGGCCCTGGCAGTATTTTCTGAGTGCCACTTTGTTACAGACTGCAGTGTATCCCCCCTCACCAGCAAACTCATGTGTTTGAGTCCCAGTTCTCCATGAAATCGCTTTCGGAGGTGGAGCCTATCAGAAGGTAATAAAGGCTAAGTGAGGTCACAGGGCAGGGTCTTAATATGACGGGACTGATGTGCTTACAATAAGAAGAGATGCCAAAAATAGAAGAAAGGCCACACGAGGATACAGCGAGAAGGTGGCCATCCACAAGCCAGGAAGGCAGCCCTACCACATCAGCATGGACGACAACTTTGATCTTGAGCTTCCAGCATCCAAGACTGTGAGAAAATGAATTTCTGTTGCATAAGTCACCCAGTCTGTGATATTTTGTTTTGGCAGTTCTGGAAAACTCACAAAACTAGGCTGTGCCTGGATTCTTGACCCCTCAGAAACTTTGAGATAATAATATTTACCGTCTTTGAGATACATTTTGAAGTAATTTGTTACGCAGCAGGAGATAACTAATACATTAGCCCAATATTTTCTACATCTTCTTTGACTTCTGTCTTCAATAGATGGACAGGCAGAGTGCTCTCTCTGAACACTTCAAATTCTTGCTTCTCCTAGCAGATGAAGTTATGTCGTGGGCTGGGGATGCAGCTCAGTGGTAGAGCACTTGTCTAGAATATGCAAGGCCCTGGGTTTGAGCCCCAGCACTATTACCACAGCACAACAACGAAAAACCAAAACCAGGATTATGACAATTTCTGAGTCACTGATAGTATTTCCTGAAGCATAGTGACTAACTTTCCATTTTCCCAGTAAAGTGAAAAACGACTGTCGTTAATCCAGTTTGGATGCAAGTTAGATAAATATTAACTGCAATGAATTGAAGTTCATAGAGTGTACATTTGTACAGTTCATCATATATTGTAACTCTATGTATATATCTATAATGTATGCATAAATGAATTACTGCAATTCCATCATTCCTATAGAGACATTAATATAGTAAGTGTTTCTAAGTGATCTTAATTATATGTCTATTAAAATGAACCTGTAGTTCCTAGAAGTGGAAGAAAATTATTTGCTGAGATGTCAGGTGGGAATTCTTCACGCGAAATCCTGGAAATGGAGAGCTGCCGCACAAGATTCAGCGCCTGGACACCTTTTAGCAACACGTCATTAAACAGACAGGTGAGTTACGTACTCTGCAATAAAACAAGTTTGGCTAATACAGTTAATTTTACTGTGATATATTGAGTCTAGTGTTGTCATATTTTTGAAAGAAAAATCCTCTAAAGAATGTAGGTTTTAAATAAAAGCTAGCTTCATCTAACCAAAGACAGTCTCTTGTCACCCTACCCCTAGCTCCTACCCTCCCCGGGACTCCACCTCTGCCTTCCCACTCAGCCTGTAGCTCTGGGGACACGATGGAGAGGTCGAGGACACACATGGCTTGCCGTCATGGGGGAAGAAGGGAGGAACCTGCTTCGGGCGATGGGGGTGGGGGTGTTCATCAAAGTTTCTCTGTGTTTCCGCAATCCTCTCTTCCCTCCCGTGCCCACCGTGTGGTTCCATGTCGCCTGGGGACGCCCGCTCCCCTTGAAGGTATTTCAGGAAGAAGCAGTGACTGGTGTGGGGCAGCTCTGCCAGGTGCTGGTGGAGAAGGCAAAGTGGATCCAAAGAGCTCACACAGCTTTAGCTTCCTTCCCAAGGGAAGGGGCCCACAAGGGCAAAGTCTGACCTCCACTGAAGACAGCGATTTGTTTAGGGGATGCTGGTGCCTGATGTCTGTCTTTCCCAGAGACACCCCTGACAGTGGCATTTTGCAGTATTATTAACTTTCAGGTGGGTGTCCTGAGGATCCAGGGCTGTGGGTTAGTGAAGTCAGACCTACGTCAAGTGGTCCTGTGTCCACAATTAAATGCGTGTAGCCTGTATGTGTTTTCAATACAAAACGTATGGAATCTGTTTCCCTAGGCAACCTTAGCCTAGGTAGAAACACGAGCCAGGAATGATTACCTCTTTGTTCCGCCAAGGCCTTCCTGGGCCCCTCTGTAATTACATCCCCGGCCCTTCCACCAGCCCACCTGACAGGCCGCGAACTGTCTGCAGCCCTGGATACAAACAGTTCGAGGTGAAAGGAGAGCCCCCGAACATACGCGAGACCGCTCTGAGAACTGGCATGTGCTGTGCAAATATTAACTGGGCAGTTGTTCGTGGATTGTCTAAAGATTGCTTAGCAACTGAGAATCTGTGGAACTGTACTGCAAAATCTCATTTCCCCCCACTTCCAGCTCTTTCAGGAAAGGGTTGCTCTTATAAGTCATTGGTTTGACCTCTGGACCAACAAGCAGCGCCAAGAATTCTTATTCACAATTTTTCTACGATGCACTAAAGCACAATTAAGGTAAATTGTTGCCTCTTGTAATTATCATTGATTCTTAAAGAAAACAAAACGTAGTAAAATGTTATATAGCCTTTAAAGGTCTCTCCTTCCCTCCTTCCTCCCTCCCTGCCTTCCTTCCCTAGAAAAAAATAAAGCAACTAATATTTTAGGGTTTGTATGTAGATTCACCTAGTGCCTGCCTTCCTTTTTTTTTCTTCTTCAGAATCATGCCATTTCATTCGGCAACATATTTCAAGCATTAGTATGGTATATAACAGGAAGCTCCAGTGTGGTATATAACAGGGGTTCAGGATGTGTTATCAAATTAGTGAAAAAAAGGACAAGATTGGGTGAGATTTTCTCCAGAGTTTTCTGCTGCCTGGCTTCTCCTTGACATTGCAAGGGAGCCTGGGGTGGGAGTGAACATCTTCACAACATGGTGAGGCTGCTGTGTGTTTGAAGAAACGTCTCTGGCTTCACCCAGTGAATTTTTAACATTTCCTTGGCGTATTAAATTCCCCTTGGAAATCAGACAGATGATGTATTCCAAATGGGTAGCTGGCATATGAGTAGACACTGTGTAAATGATTGCTAAATGAGTGGATGGGTCTGAGAAATATCTGAGAAGTGACAACAGCAGCTACCTCTAGGGAGGGTATGCTGAGACTCAGCAGCCGCCTGCGCCTGCCAGGGGGTCCCTGCCCACATTTTTCTCCTTCCCTTGTGGTGTGTCTGTAATTTACTTGAAAATACTTCAGCATAGATTGTGTAACATTTGTTATTGGAATCATATCCAGGGGTAACTCATGTTCTGATCAGGAATTAATACTCTGGGAGTCCTTAGCTCACTCTAGATTGGAAAGGTCACAATGCCTCAGTTACTATCAAATGATTCGCTAATCAGCAAAGCAAATATCAGACATCAGTTATTATCAGAGCAACCAGTGGCTTGTTACCGAGCCATCTAAAAGTTAGAGCAGACTCTCTTGCGCATGAAATTAGGGGTATTCAAGATGTCTGGAGTGACTGCAGTGTTTCAGAGAGCCCTTCAGGGTGTCTGGACTTGACCGGAGAATCCAACTGGGCCTGTAGCCGGCCCCGTAAGGTTGGTTTCCTGGGCTTCGTCCCCGATTACATGACGTTGGGTCAGTCTGGGGGATTTCTGGTGGTCTGAGGCCAACAATGAGTGTAGTACCAGGATGCTGCTTTTGGAGCTTTGTCCTTCCTCAATCCAATGACTCTGTCACCCAGAGGCCAGAGAGCTGGGACTTCATCCAGGCTGAGGAAGGCACTCTAGGAAGGTATTTGGGCTTATTCACTAATGCTTGTTTAGTGAGCACCTACGACATCATTTGGTGTTAGCTGGTTTCACTATAACCCATGGAGAGGGAGAGGCTTAGCCTTTGGATTTCCTGGGCAGCTACCAAAAGGGATCTGAGAATTGCGCATGATCCAGTTCGCTTTCATTTGCAACCTGCATCCTACTCATTCTACTCTCATCGGATCAGCCACTTCTTCTCTGCTTCTCCGCTGCCCGCTGCCTCTTCTATCTGTGGGTGCAAAGCAGGTGTGAACTGACTTTCCCGGAGGAAGCACAAGGAGACAGATAGCTTCCTGGCTGCAAAGACATCTTACAGCGCGGCAGGCCCTTCAGTTCACAGCTGCTAGTCAGGAGGAAGGGACATTTTATGAGAGTCATTTGCTGTGTTTCTTTTACTCCAGTCTCGCAGCTTTCAAGATAAGAAAACAACAGACCAAAGCCCGTATCCATAATCACTGTGTGCACCAGGTTCATTTCGTGAGTCACAAAGCAATCTCAGTTGTAACCACCGGAGGTCATTAGAGATCGCGCGTATATTTTGAGGCAGCTTAACATTAGGCCTGACAGTTTGTCACTGGAAATTACATCCTGTGTCTGGTACCTGAATTCTTCTTTCTGTCGGACAAGAATGTGGAACTAACCTGCTCAGTGAAATTGCTTTTGTTTTGGTTGATAGCAGCTGCGTTTCCACAGACAGAAGTGTGTGATTCAGAGTTCTGCGCAGCTGCCGTTGTGTGGTCTTACTTGGTGGTTTTTGTTGTTGAGTATCAATCGTTCATTCCCCAAAGTCTGAGTTGTCTTTTTACACTTCTTATCCTCTCCTTCAGCCTCCTACTTATCCCTGTAGTCTTTCTTCCCTGTAACTGTGAATAAACTTAATAAATGGAAGAAATAAGCATCGCTTGAAGGCCTGAAACATACATCTGTATGCATTTTTTTGTTCAACTTTTTTTTTCATAGTATAGTGACCATTGCTTTAAAATTTGCAAATATTTTTGTTTTAGTTTAGATAGTTGGATTTATAAACATGGTATTTTAATATTTGTGGGAAAGATGTCATCCCAGTTTTCTTAGAAATTTCTTCTTAATCTCTAAGATATATTAAATATCTAAGTGCTTTTTACTGTCCTAGTAAATATTCCATAATTGACCTTGGGTCAGTTTGGGAGATTTCTGGTGGCCCAAGGCCAACAGTGAGTGTAGTAACCGGGTGCTGCTTTCGGGGCTTTGTCCATCCTCAAAGTTCAGTTGAGTTTTAAGATGACCTTAAATGGCATTTTGTGATAGCTAAGACATTTTTCAGTTGCGATCAGATGCATTTAAGGTGGTATGGCTGTAGACAGACGAGTTTTCAAAGGTTCAGCTTCTGGAGCCACCCTGGCAACTTAAATGCCACCTGTCCTGGGATGCCGTCCATGACCCACAGCTGTCTACTGCCTCCATTGTGGCCCTCTCTCCAGTGCGTGATGCTCGGTCAACACAGTAAAGGTTCCTATTGGCACTTTCCCGCTGCCAGTTGACCGGACTGACCTTTTCTGTGCCTTCTTAAAGGAAACTGGGCTGTTTGTTTCTGTCACACTCGGCAAAACCCATGAGGAGTTTCAGTCCAGCTTCTTGCCGCACTGGTGGGACCGGTTTTAAATTGCTTCTGCTCAGCAGCCCAGGTGCTGTCTACAAAGACCTTGCGTTCCAGAGTGGGAGCTGTTGAAACCTGTAGTCTTCTTGAAGGGGCAACATTCACGCAGCTGCATTCCCAGGCTGAGCAGATGGATGTGCGCCTGTGTGTGCCTGCGGTGTCGGGAGAGAGGAATCATGCGCAGTCCCCAAGGACTGAGTTCATATCCTTTGCCTCCACTGGAGCAGCCTGGAATTGGTGATGAAAGCCAGAAAAGTGTAGTGACCAAGGTATACTGAAGAGAGAAACCCACCCCACACCTCTATCCACTCAGCCCACTTCCCACAGCCCCAGAAGGGCGGCTGAGAAGACCCCTCAGCTGTCTTCTGCTGAGGAAATCTGAGGTGTCGCTCTTCAGAGGCACAGTACCTAACTAGCTTAATTCCTAGCACCCTGCAGCTGCATTGCTGAATTACAGCAAGTCCATGTGAAAGGAACCTGTTTCTGTGTGGAGGTGGGGAGGATGTTGAAGAAAAACATCATCAAGTGATAGCTTGTGACAGCACAGAGAGGCAGGCTGTGTAGTGGAGACAGGGACAGGGCCCACTGCCTGGGGATTTGCCTTAGGGTGGAGCTATGGTGCTCAAGTCTCGCTCAACACAATAGAAGGGCTTGTGTTGTGTGTGGCACACACAGGGCAACTCACTTGCTCTTCATGTAGACATCTGTGGCCAAAAAAAAAGTATCGAAAAAGAAATTTATAGCCAAGGAACAGAGGAGTGTGTGTGTCAGTGGATGGAAAATTATTAAGAGGAAGTACCGGGAGCAAAGTGAGGTTCTGTCTAAAGCAACCGGGCAGGATTCTTGCTGGAGCCAGACCAGGGTAATTACACATCCCCTGGAGGCTGGTGAGGGATGAGGAATGAGATCTGATACGAGGTCAGATATCAGAGGGTACGGGGTCCGTGACAAAATGACTTGGCAGTGCTCTTTGCTAAAACTGGATTTGACAAGGAAGTATACAGACAGGCCTAGCGGGAAGGCTCAGAAGCTTAGCTGAAGTTTGGTCAGGTGGAGTGTCTTTGACAGGGAAGGGCAGTATTCAAAGGTAAACAGAACGCTTGTGTTTTTGTCACTTTATTGTCACTGGGACAAAACATCTGAGTCCCGAAACTTAAGGGAGGAGAGTTTGACTTTGGCTCATAGTAAGTTTCAGTCCATGTTTGACAGGCTTAAACGCAGAAATGGCGACAGAGGGGCCCAGCCCAAGAGAACTGCTGGCGTCATGTGACCCGGAAGCAGAGGGAGCAGAGAGGAGTGGGGCAGGGCGGGGAGATGGAGCCTTCCACGTCCTGCCCACCAAGAGACTCACTTTCAACCAGGCTCCAGCTCCTAACAACAAGCATTAGGAGAGAAACCCACCCCACGCCTCCGTCCACAGCCCTCTTCCCACAGCTGCTGCAGGGGCCTACACTTTTCTGGCTTTCATCGCCAATTCCAGGCTGCTCCAGTGGGGACAAACGACATGAACTCACTCCTTGGGGGCTGCTGGTGACTCCGCTCTCCCGACACACACGCACGCAGGCACAAACGCACGCAAGCACACGCGCATCTATCTGCTCAGTTTGAGAATGCAGGCCCCATAATCCAATCACGTTCCAATCTGGCCATTTTACAAAAGATACAAACCCTGACAGCTTATATCTAAACAACTGTTTTGTAAATACGCAAGGAAAGTCTGCGTCATTTGAACTCAGCTCCTTTTCCTCGGCTCAGCACTCTGGACACACTCTTTCCTTCCGCACCGTTCAGTCGGTGATGGGCAAATACATACAATATGTGCATTCCTTTTGGGGTGGTTTAAGGGGTGAATCAAGCTAAAAAGGAAAATTCTTTCTTTAATTTTAATTTTTATTCGCACACGTTTGCAGTAATAACGCTTACATTCACCATGGGGCGCTGGTGCGTGTGTGTAACGCACCTCCATTCCTCCCCTCCTTCCATCTCTTGGTCCCGTTCCCATTTGCAGAAGATCCATCTGCCTGTTTCCTATTATCTATCTAAAAAGGAAAATTCTTAATTTCA